CCCCCCYTYMAAAAACCCTGGATCCGCCCTTGGAATCCACAGGCRGCCCAAGGACTTGTCCTGTGGTGTTGTACTACAACGAGCGGGTCATTTGARCGTTTCACATMTTTGAAAAYTGTCAATGAGCCCCTCTGAAGGGCCATATAAAAATGTTGTTTTTTAGGGTTTTACTCAAAATCTTGCAACCTCTACCATTTAGTTTTAAATGTGGCACTTGATCATTTTTGGTTTGTCTTGTTTTTAGAATGTATTGTTCTACCATGAACATGTGTTTACTAAAGATCCTGGAACATGCTTTGCAACTCCCTGGCATCAWGACCAACCTTACTACCCTCTAGATGGATGGAAGGTGAAACTGCATGACTTTGAAGTGATTGAGGGAGGGTGGGGATAAAGATCTTGGTACATGCTTTGCAACACCCTGACATCCTTTGACCAATGGATAGATGGTAAAACACTGTTGTGGTAATTGATAGGCTGGGAAGGGGGGGTTAAAGATCTTGGTTGGTACATGTTATGCAACTCCTTGGCATCACGACCTTTAGGTAATACTCCCCATTAGGAGCATGGAAAGTAAAATAGGGATATTGGTGGAGGGAGAGGGGATGTAAATTGTACTCTTGATAAAGCCCTTGCTTAATAATTATTTGTTAGCCCTCAAAATGTTCTTGTGACACTAAGAGCTCCAGATACAAATTTTTTTAAATCTAAGAAACATCAATTTGTTATGAGCAGGGGAGTAGTGAGGGGAGATGTCTGCCAAAACAGGGGTCGGCATTACATTTTACTTATCACACATAAACCATACAAATTTAATGTATAAACTGCAGTAAACACAGAATTTACAAATCACACTTTACATTTTGTTATTTTTACATGACACACTTATTTTAGCTTGAATCATGTCACTTGTGACTCTTGCCAACCTATCTAATAACCTTTGCTAGCTTTTTTAAATAATAATGATTAATTTCTCATTTATCTGCAGAATTGCTCATTTTGGATGCCACTGTCTGTAGTTTCCAAAGAGAACTGTCTGAAGTACATCAAAGGTTCTCATCGCTGGGGRAAATGGTTTATTCCCAAGAAGTTTGAAACCAACTTAAACTACTCCCTTCAGGATAAAGAAATGGGAAGATTTTCAGYGATGGTTGACATTGATGCCAACCATGACCAGTATGAAGAACTCTCATGGGACTTAGAGGTAACGGAAAAACATTTTAATTTATTCTCACAGCTAAGCCGTGAACATGGCGTGCAAAGCACGAGTTGAAAAATGATTGGCTCTAAGCATCTTTGGAGTTCCGCAACAGAGTATGGTTTTCAGCGATCTTGCTCTGGAACAGGGTATGAATTTCAGCGATTTTACTCTGAAACAGGATCAGGGTTCAGAAGTCTCAGCAGCACATCCCTACCCTAAATGGGCAAGAGTACCCCCCCTAGGGTTCCAGCTGATGTTGTTGTTGGTTTGAGAGAATCACAAAACCCTTAAGCCTTGTTTTCATTAGCAATGCAAGCAAAGACTTTGTTTTCGCTATGACACAAGCAGAAATGCAAACTTAAGTGCAATAGCGCAAGTATCAATTTTTTATCCTTGCACTTGTGTTTCTGTGGTAGTGAAACCAGGCTTTAGGCTATTTCTAGATAAATATATGTTATTGAAAACACACAGCTGCAGTACTTATGCTAGAAAATGTTTTTTTTTTAACCATCTTGACTTCAGCCAGGAGATTGCATTGCCTTTCATATGCTAACGGTTCACGGAGCCCCAGAAAGTGTGGATCAAAATGGCCGTCAGGTTTTGGCCACTCGCTGGCTTGGTGATGACATGGTTCTTACGACAAGACCTTGGGAATGTTCTCCACCTATTTTACCTGATGGATTCAAAGCAGGTGAATATGTTTTGAAGTACCAGCATGCATTTCCTCCAATCAAACAAAAAGTTCACAAATAGGTTGAAGATGTCAATCATTAGTATAATATTGCAGTTCCTCTTAGCTTGGAAGTTCATAAAGTGTGAAAATTCATTCCCAACTTCAGTCATTCTATCTTTGGCAAATCTTTTGTCTTGAAGCTAATCTTCATGCGTCACCAGGATAAGGGATTATTCTTTTTCAAGTATTGGTGATAAACATGAAAATATTATATAAGAGAGTGACACCTGGTCAGAAATGAAGGCTATTAGGTGGCTATTAGCTATTTAAATTTTTAAAAAGCTGCAAGGAATAAGAGTGTATCTTTGGAGATCCCCAGGAAAAAACCATGGGTAAAATTCTGTCCCTTGYTTGYGACAGAAYTTTAACCCTGGGTTYCCRAGGATAATCKTTGCATATCAAATGCTATAATCAATAATCATAACAGTAGATACACTGTAGTTAATAAATAACTCARTGAAGAAAAGCYTTTGATGAGGAAAATATTTTCAGTGGAAATTATTGCTATTTTACAAAAATGAATAATTTTTGACAAATTTAAAATTTTTTACTAAAAACACAGCCTACACACTGACGTACATGACTTTGTATGCATTTTTCAACACTTATATTTTAGTTAATAGTTGGAGTGCTTCATGCATGTGCAACCTTCATTATGTATGTAGGTATTAAGTAACTTCTATAGATACCATTTGATTTTGTTTTAGGCTATTTTGATCAAACATTTACCAACCTGGTTGTAAATAAGATCAGATCAAAGGCAACAATAGACCTTATTCGTGGTGTGACAATGTTTTCCCAATTCAGCGTGACAAACCTCCAGAGGATTCATTTTTACTCTTTGAAAAATTCATGACTATTCCAAAGGATACGAAAGGAATAACGATGATATCCCGACGAGTTGCAAATTAATAGCTCTTCATTCCCGCAGAGGTTTGTCACATTTAATTGAGAAAACATTGTCACACCACGAATAAGGTCTATTTTTCATTCTGAAAAAATTCTATGACAGGGGTCACACATTATTGAAAGAAGAAAGACTGATGGGATGACATAATGAAGTAGATTTAAAAAAAAGGATTATAATGGTGAACAATTTGTATTCACATCAAAAGTGGAAAAATAAAAAACGTAAACTTTAATGTTTGGGCACACTAACCACAGGGTTAGCGTGTCCTCACTGTAAAAAAAAAAAATAAAAATAAAAGTAAAATAATAATAATAATGAATAGTTTCAGTGGCATCCTAATCATTTAGTCTGAGTAAGAATCATGTCTTTGTCTCTTGGGTTTTTTTCTATCATCTTTACTATGCTTGTGCTCCTCCTTTGATRAAAAATGTCTTTTTGTCTTCTTTCTATCAGATGATTGTTTCTTYTTAGAATGAGGTTCGCCATCTGAATCATCTGAAGTTGAATCATGCCTCCGTTTAGAAACTTTAGCCTTAAGGTCAGATKTCCTGACATTTCTTGAGTCTGACTCGCTATCTGATGTTGAGTCATGCCTCGTTCTTTTAGCCTTTGATTTAATTTTTTTATCATCATCATTKTCCGAATGTCTTCTCCTGTGCCGATCTCCATCTCTTGCATTTGTATCACTACTGTCAGAATCTGATGGACTGTCATTTCTTTGAGATCTTTTACTTGACTTGCTTTTCTTTTTCTTCTTCCATTTTTCTTTTTTCTCTTTCTTTTCTTTCTTTCTTTTCCTTCTACTTTCTTTTGTATCCATGTTTGCCTGATTACTTCTGTCTTCTTGCTTGCCATGCTGCTTGGGTATCTATGTTTGATTAAAGTGTGAAACTCACTTCAGGGGCAGATCTAGCATTTTCAGTTTGGGGAAAGTTCAAACCAGGCACAACCTATGGCGACGGACCTAATCCACTGTCTTCATATTTCAGACCATGTGTCGTGCTCTTGAGAATAACATTCTTTGTTTGAGTTGTATCTATATTCATGTGTCTTCACAAGTGCAACCATTGTTAATAAACAAAGGAATAACACTCTAGGGAATGACAAGTGGTCTGAAATGTTTTCATGTTTCAAACTTTTGGAAATCCTATTTTCTGAGTAACTCCTGTACAAAACGTTTGCTTGTGCAGGAACCAAAGTTTATTGCTATTTTTTAGGTTTGCCATTGTACTAGATGTGGTAAAGCAATTTTCAGACTAGCTGAAGTTATTTCAGGCTTTTCTGGGAAGATGGTGCACAGGTAAAACTTGACTAACAGTAAGTCTGGGTAATAATGAAATATCAAAGTCCCTGTATTTCAACTATTATCATATCAGGATTACTAAATCCGACCAGTCTTGATATTCTGAACATTGAATATGTTGCACACATGATATCCAAGGTCAATAGGACTGGCTATTCTCACCTGGCTGCCAATAGCAGACATGGTTTCTTTTGTACTCACTGAATCCATTAAACTGGCTCTGGTGCTGGAAAACAAGTTTGGGGAAAAATTTTTGTGAGATGCAGCTGACAAAATTAACAATATCATCAATTTTATTGAACCCTGAAAAAACCTCTGGGCTGATTTGATCTAAGAAATGGGCTTGGTTAACTAACAGATTGAACCTGAAACGACCTCTGGGCTGATGAAAGTCAGTGTGTGGCTAACACATATCAAACCCTGAAACAACCTCTGGGCTGATCTAAGTCAGTTTTATGGCTAACTCTGAATTGGAATTTAGTTGGGTTTTGCAGGGGAAGGAAAGCTAAAGAATCTCAGCAAAAACCCTTGAATCGGGAGAGAGAAACAACAAATGCATGTGATACAAGTCATGCTACCTCAGAGGTGAGTGCACAACTGCTAAACCGACCTTGATTATTGATTGTTAAATGCCTGGTTGAGACAACGTAAGTCTACAATACATGTAGACTACCGTAGATCAAATAAATTGTTCGGTAACTTTACATGATTCAATTGACAGCAGTGCAGCAACTGTACATTGTCTCACTCAGCCTATAGCCATCAACACAGTGGTAATATCATATATATGTGATTGTAGATTTTAAAAAATGTTCAGTTTTGCAAAAAATTACCTTCCAAATCCCATTCCTTCTATTCTTTCTATATCTTTGTCATCTCGTTCTGTCTGTCCTTTTCTGAAAACCTCTTCAAGTTCCTAAAATTTTGCACAGAGCGAAATTTTTTAATCAATTTGTTTTATTGCAGAGGGATGCAGTTCCGGGTTGTACCTGTTTGGTGAGTTGTGATGTCCCAGCCCTCTTYACAGGTGCATGTCCTCTGCAAGGATAAAAGAAAAGATAAGGTATGCAATGAATAAGCAAGTAGCATTAACTGGAAGATTTGCTTTGTATGAGTATGAAATGGCTTAAGACATGGCAATCTCAATGCAGAACTGATGGTATTATTTGAACAACACTAACAATAATCCCACAGGGTTYAAAATAATTGCCAGTTAACAGACAAGGTCCAGTCTTGAAAAYCCCCTTAAGTATCCTCTTGGCTGGCCACATTTTGATCAGTGTGATGTGTCTGGTCAGTACAGGATCATATTTAGTGTGACACATCCATAAAGCGATATTTTCAAAGATATGTAAAATTTAGAACTAGAAATTTGTTTTGAGCCTACTTACAATGCTGCTGCCATTGCATCTGCTTCCATTCTTTTGATTGCCTCTTTTTCCTGTACACATCCAAACAAAAACCAGAACATCTTATGATGACTGAAGTGCATATGTCTAAAAGCGTTAGTATTGTGAATTGAGTTAGCCAACCATTATCACAATATTGTTCTTATCAAGTTGCTTTGTTTCGTCACTAAAACAATCGCTGGTTGGCATAGTAATTTTAACAATTATTTAAGTTACAGCAACTACTGTTGTATTTGTATTAACATCTGTTAGGTTGTAAAGCGCCTTTGATTATATCCACATATTAAAGGGCGCTATATAAATCATAATCATAATTATTATTATTATTATTAGGTTCTGGCCTTATGTCCTCCCTTATATATAAAAGATTTTAAAACTTTATGTGAATAGTTTCACCCTCCTTGGGAACTGCCTTAACAACCGAACTAAGAGGACTAAACCAGTCTTGAAAAATACAGAGATCTATAGAGCATGTGCATGTCGTGCATATGTCATAACCACCATCTTGGTTTACGATAACAAAGAATTCCTCATTAGCTTCTTTTGTTAGTCAATAGATCAACCAACATGGCAGTTGTTTCATTGTCATCTATATCTCAAGGGAGTTTGAGTCACATGGTTGCACAAACTGTATACATTAAAACCTGTTTAATGATCTTTCCTCTGATTTGAAATACATTCATCTTATTAAAAATCACATGAAATATACGCAAGCATCATTTTAAGGTATCATAGTAAAGTATCAGAGGCCCAACAAAAAATAAGTGTTTCCTGTTGTGCGACCGACCCAAATTTTCTTGCCAATTTTTGCCCACCCTAATATTTTTTCATTCCCAAATTCACCACAGGGTTCCCAGTAAGCTCATTTCCACTGTATCAAAAAATAAAAAATAAAAATTCTGACCTACCGACCCCAATTATTTTTCTCATGCAACAGGAAACACACTTTTTTTTGGCCTGATAGTTATACTTACTGCTTCCTTTGAACTGGATGTTCCTTTCTTATCGCGAGAAAACCTTCATATAAAACGACAAATACGTCAAGAACAGCGTAATGAAGAAAGACTAATTAGTTAGGTAAATTGGGCTATTGCATTAATTTTTCGTACCCCCTTCCCCCCCCTCCCCTGCCCCCCGTTGAGGACAATGAAATTCTTTAGGGGTCAGGGGTGTTTTTGTGATGGAATTCTTCAGGGGTTGGGGAAAAATTTATGCAATAGCCCATTTCAAGTCAAAATGGAAGAATGCTTTATTACCACTGAAGATCTTTGTTTTTCTGCCATCTTCCGACTGGAGCCATTAAAGAGTGTCCTATAAGAAGTACAAACGATTAGTACAGATAGTTTTAACCTCTCAACAGCACTACATTAAATCCAAGACATCTCTAGCCTGCACTGCATCCCTCTTGTCAACAAAAGAACCCATTTATACCCCTTTTATACTCACCAAGATAATTCTCTCTGTGTTTGTCTGATTTGACAGATTCCCACTCAAACTGATCAGCTCCACCTCGAACTCCGCCTCTCGAAGGATGAAACATCGCTAGATCGCTTGCTTATTGTTTTTTTGGAAAAGATTCACTAAAACTACGACAAAATTACGACAAAGTTCGTTCGTTCAGTTCGCCATCTTGGACGTGAAACGCAATCGAAGTCCTGGGCATCATTTTACCACAGGAAACCCAGTCGATCACACAGGGAACCCATCAAGTAGATAGATCGTGGACAGACAGACAGATGATCAATGCACAAATAAATACAAGGGATCGCGGACTAAAAGGTAGGTAAGCCGAGATAAATAATGTACAAAGTTAATAAGTCAAAACTAATGCGATAGACCATAAAGATTAATCAGCTATTCGATCTTGGTTTAAGAGTCTTCTGTCCAATTATCTTGAGCCAAGTTTCAAAAAAATGCTTTCAAAGGATATTTATTCCAAAAATTAATTTTTATGAGATTTTTTTGAAGTCCAAGGTGACTGATTGCACTTACATTTAGCCAAAGTATAGACTAGTCCAAGATATAGACTAGTATACCAAGAATTACTAGAAAACTCGTTATGTATATCTTATATGGCCTAAAAGGCTATCCGTCTCACTGGACTGAGTGGGAGACTACATTTGAGCCGTGGTTCTTTTCACTTCCCACGCTTCATTTTTTTCCGAAAAACCCTTAAGCAATACAAATACCGCCCTTTACTGTTCTATTACATTCGCTTGATTTTTTCCCTATCTTTGTCAGTTGTGCAATTTAAGTGGCAGACTGTGAAGGATATTTCAGTAAATCCCCCCTATCGAGTACCTTCTGAATCCRACATCAGAGCTACATTTACGGTGTGCGCTTTGCGAAATTAAAATTAAGTARTAGCAAAAATTTAACGGCACAATAATTTACTAGTTCTATGCCTTTCTAACATTTTGTTGTTACTTTTTCGAAGCAGAATTTTCCTAAGACGTGTTAATGAATATGTTTTTTAAGAGGTGCAAATACTTATAGCTGGCCTACATATGGTCTAAGTGTTTTCCTTAATCTCTCRAAGAAACTGAATAGGCAGGCAACGGATGTTTTGAATCTTTCCCAGTGGTATGTTTTGAAATATTTTACCCCAAGTCGCATGACGTCTAAGCATGTCAAAGCGCAGGTATTTTTCTTGACACACACAGTTGGAAATGCTCCCTTAATTACAACATTTTTTATTCTTCCTAATTGTGAAGGCCTTTCCACGTAACTAACTGTTAGCCATTGTCAAATAAGGCCATAAAACGATTCCCAATTAAGAAGCGCTAAACCTGCGAAAGGTTTGATTAACTTTCCTGACCATGAGTTCGTGTCCTTGATTGATTTCTATCTATGATTCCAGATTTTTCGACCAGAACATTACTCATTATTCCGCGTATAATATAGCCGATAAAGTGATAAAATCCTTAGTTATCACCACATCTCTGATTAGTGATTGAGATTTCACCTAAGTATTCAATTGAAAACGCATAGTATAATCTAGAGGAAGGCGCCGATGAGATCCAAACGGTGTAYTCAATGAACTAMCTCGAAATGCCAAAATATATTTTCRATTTAAAACGTATTGCATAAAATAACATGTCAAGTGAAAATTTCATCAATTTCCGAAAGAGGTCGTAGAAAAAGCTTCTTTGGATTTATTTTAACGAATAACGTGTGAAAAGGCGCCAAAAACACGATRAATTAAATCAAAATGTCTCAAATAAAGTAGCCTTGTCATGACGTCATCAAGTCAGTAAAAAAGCCAAAAAAGATGATGCTTACGTCAGAGGGAAGTAAACTCTACTCCAGTTAAGAATGAAAGGGTTTAAACGCTATAAAAAATGATCAAAGTGTTGATACGATTATCGCAGGAATAGACCAAGACTTACTAAGACCATTTAAAGGTTATTCTTTCACGATTTATAACTCGTAAGCTTTGCATTTCCTATAAGCTTAGGAGAATTTGATTTCTTAAATTTTACGATTGGTAACTCTCAGTTTTCTTTTTGCTTAGAAAAACCTCAAGTTGACTTTTTATTGTTTTTTGGCAATACTATTGGTGGAAACTTGTAACTCAAGACTGAAAAAGCTGACCAACAGCCARCAATTTGTACATGACTTATGTGCCAATACCCTGCTAGCAGAGTTCTTTTTCCTGTCCTTCGTCCTCGCTTCAGGGGGAGAAACCCCCMGACCAACGTTCCGCTCAGCTGTACGGAGGGACTGAGAGAAACTGTAACCCTCTTCTCGCAGGTTAACGTGCAACGTGGTCATCACTCCGTTTGAAAATTCTTTTTAAGCAGGARACATGAAGCAGCAAAACCTTGAAAATCAAAAACTATATCTCAAATTAAAAACATAAGGATTGATCGAGAAGTAGAAATKTTTTAACGTATGATTTATTCATAATTTCAGCTCCTTATTACGTCTTGAGGCCATTCCTGCTATTACTTCTAGAATTACTACTAGAATTCTTTCCATAGTTCCTTTTTTTGGCCAAGGTAACACCATTATCACGTGACTCCCAAAAAGAATTCGAAGAGAAATCTGGTCATTTTGCTCTTTGGAGTAGTCAAGTGAAATGTGCTAAGACTGCGAGTTAGTTRAACAGCGGTTAACTTCATTCAAGTCTGGCTATCAACTGACATGGGGCCATAGAASAACGAAGAACGAGGGCTCTGGCATAATCCATTTTTTTGAGACCAGGATTTCTTGGATTTCCGGCATAAGAGCGCATACGTTTAAAGACTTACCAAAAAATAAAAAAATATGTTTCCGATTTCTAATTCTTATTTTGATATGAAGTAAACACAGAACTCTGTATGAAAGCAGGTTTGAAAGCATGATTTTCATTCATTATGTTTCACTTCCGGAAAACTGCGCATGCGCCAAAAATAGATTATGCCAGAGCCCTCGTTCTTTGCAGCAGGCCGAAAGAAACTCKGGCTCTGTGTACGAGATTGAGCACATTTCTAAAAAAGATGGAATTTCTCTAGAAGATCTTTTTAAAATGTGCTTAACTTTATAATTTGCCTCATTGATCTTAAATTGTTTTTATTTCTGGACCTTTTATTTTATTTTATTTTATTTTATTTTTTTAATTACTAACAACTTAAAACTGGGTGGCTGGGGAGAGTTGGTTTAGGATGGCGCAAAGGAGCTTGGACTGTAACGGGAAGCTACGGGAATCAGAAGAGTTGGAAAAAACGTCCAAGCTTTTCTAGATATTTTTGAAACAGAGCAGCTTAAACTATATCGAGATAGACTAATAATCCTGCAGTACCTGTGTGTTACCAGCAAACGTGTTGTGTCTTGACGRTACGTTCTTTCGTGTCAGCAGGCGTATAAACTGAATAAATAATAACTATCATTTGAAAAAAATTCCTCGAGGACAGCCATGACTGTTTCAGTGTCAAGAGTTTTTCGCTGTAACTAATAGCTATGTAATTTTAATATTATTTGTCTATACCGCCTTGGGAATTAAACGTGGAGGCAGAAAAAGCCGGTTTTCAATTTGACCCGTTCGGAAGAGAATTATTCAAGAACGTTCAGGATGTTGAAAATTTGGGGGAAGGAAAGCGATATTTTCGTTTTGCTTATGCGGTGAAAGGAAAATGCTTCGTCGACTTCTGAAACCAAAATTCGTAACTTCCCTATAGGTTTGGTAATATTCAAATGTCCTTTGTCACGGTTAATGACTTTTTCTCGCCAAATCTCATGGTAAACGCCTTGGGTATTTTCTGGGAGAGGTATTTGTGTCTCTATTTTAGTCTGTGATCAAGAGTCTATGTAAACTTAAAAGAATGACTTCATTTCATCCATGAAAACATGAGCTTTCAAAGTTTTATTTGAAAGCGGAAATTCATGGGGTGTTTCAACAAGCGTCTCCGTAACCTCAGGCCCTGATTGGTTGATGATTTACTCTAACAATAGGAGGTCGCTCGTCATACCTATTTTCACTGGTATCCTATAGCAACAGTTGGTCACACCATAATTACCCGCGAAAACATGGATAAACATCAGTCACACAACAGATGCAGTGAAATCACCATCTACTAGCCACCTGCTTGTCATTCTGTGTTGTACGGCGTCTTGAAAACATACACTGGAAGACATTCATTTAAATCGAGGCCGCTAACCTGAAGTATTTCGCCGGTCGCTTGCTTCCCCATTTGGGTTACTATCTATAGAAATGGGGTCTACTTTATCAGTGAATCGAAAAAGCCTTTTTCGCGATTGCGGCGGCTTTTGGAACTTGAAGACCCGAGAACAAGCCAAGAGTTTTTACTGCAAGTGTTGTTATAATGTCAGTGACGGTAATGGAAAAGAGAAAAAAGTGAGTGGGCTAGCTTCCTGTGATAGTCTCACAGCGTATTTGCAAAAATGTGCCAGCGTCGGGAAGAAAAAGATGAGATCGAAGATCGAGCCAGCACCGAATAAGAAACCAAATGATGTAGAAGGGAAAGAGAAAAATGAAGAACCACGCTTGGAAAGCGTCCCCACAGAAATTATACCGACCAAAACAAAGACAGAAGAGAAGGAGAAACCATCAATAACTCAAAACAAACCGATCGTACCCCCCAAACCTCAACAAAGACCAAGCAGTTCTTCATTCACCCTGAGTAGTGATGCTCTCAGATGTATAGGGAATTTCGTGAAAAGTCATTGCAAGAATTTATCGCGTTTACGAGCTTCTGAAGTCGTGTTATGGCTGCGCGGAGTTGACAGGGCGTTGCTGATACAAGGTTGGCAAGATCAAGCATTTTTAACGCCACCAAATCTCGTCTTCCTCTTTATGTTACTCAAAGAATCTTTAAAGGAAAAGTTCACGAGTATCACCCAGCTCCGTGCCGACGTTTTGACTTGTCTCTACATGGCTTACACATACAGCGGACCAGAGATTAGCTACCCCCTGAAACCTTTCCTTGTGGACGGTGACAGAGAAGCGTTTTGGGATCGTTGCATGAACATTATTAACAATCTTAGCGATAAGATGCTACAGACGAACAGAGACCCTAAATATTTTGGTGAACTCTTAGTTGATTTAARGCGTTATAATTCTGCTGTTGACAGAAGAGATGGATAGACAGTGGAAAAATTCCCAAGGGATATTAACTCTGTTGTGTATAGGATATATATACATAATCGATCGGCTCAATTCTGACACCAAAGCATTGAATCTAAAGATCAACCTTTCGTACGAATTCAATGCCGTAAGCGACCTCGATCTTTTATATATTCAAGCGCTACATTTTTCTCAAATTTCGAGGATTCAACAAGTTTAGAGAAAGACCTTAAGACATCTATTGTTTCGCGAACATGCTAAGGTTTATGAGAGCGCGTTCGCAAGCGGAGCCGTGTGCCGTCGACTCATTTAGAGCTGCCGAAGTGAAGGACGTCAAATGGACCTTTCACAGATTTAAATCCTTTAAAAAAAATCTTTAGTGATTTATTTTGTCTTRGTAATATTGGAGAATATTGATTCTTATTTTTTTGTAATTTAGGTTTTTCAACAAGAAATTGTCAGTCGATTCGGATAAATCGCGAAATTTTAAGTATAGAATCCTTGAAAAGGTATTTATAAAGAATTTAGAAAATAATTTATGAAGATTTTGCTAAGAATATTACTTGTGAATATATATTGAGATAGTTTATTTATTTCCTTACTTCGCGAGACCAAAGACCACATGTTAAATGCAAATATCTTTTTTTGCCTTTAAAAAGTAGAGCAATGACAATTCAATGTATTAAAGACAACATCTGGCTATTTGACAGATCAGCTCTGTGTTCTGTCTAGTATRAAAACCATTAAAATATCTTTTTAGTGTGAAATAAAACAAGAATTTTTATCAGTCTTCGAGTGATGATTCTGTTTTTCGTAATGTCATGTGTAATGCATAATTATAGGCAAGTTTAATAGTGGTATTCTTATGCAAAAGTAAGATGTTTTTGCACTCGTGTATGGGAATATTTATTTGATCCGTCTTCTGTTCATCCGCTTTTAGCGCTAGTGTCTGGTTTCTCAAGCAAAAATCCAGTTATCCGCAGTTTAAAAGCTTCTGAATCGCTAAGTAATTCTGCAAATGTAGAAAAAGATATATGAATATCCAGAAGGAAGGAAAAGACGTCCAGGGTATGAGATTTGATTCTCCCGAGTGACTCTTAGTCGGTTGATCCATACTGTACCCGAAAGGAAAATCCTGCGTCGGCAGGCAGGCAGACTCAATATATTTCTCCATCAACCCGAATACCTCAACTAGATAGTTAAATATGCCTCGATATATAGATATTTTGAAATAAACGATACTGAAACGAGTCGGTGAATCTTTTAAAATTCAATTTTCAAGCTATTTATAAAAAAAGGTTTCTTGTCATGACCTCAAAAAGTGAACCTCAAAAATCAGGTTCTAAATATCTGAACTTGCTGTAGATATCGATTTTAAAAAGAAAACGCTTGAAAAAATTTATTTGGACAAAGGGGTTAAAATGATATTTTTATGCAGTTTTCTTTTTTGTTTTTTTCCTTGTAAATTTGAACTCATATTCTACTGTTGAAAGTGAGACGTCAAAGCGGCTCGGTGCCTACAATTGCAAAGAAAGGTTAAAAAAAGCACTCACATGAAGAAAACAAATACTTAATGGTATACAGCGGTTTCGAATCATAATATTTCACAATTTTGTCATACAGAAAAAAAACGTGTCGGCTTTCCATTTCCCTACATTGAGATTGACATTTTTCAACAGCCGTCAAACGAGAAAACATTTCAAATAATGTTTTTCGCAATTAGTTCATTAGCCGCCAGTCTATTATTAAAGTCCAAGGCCTGAAAACAGGAGGCAGCGATGGTTGTGCCATTGCTCGATCCTAGAAAAAAGAAAAAAATTCACCGAGTTTTGAAGGGAACTGATGTCATTTCAACGTTGTGGCTATTGCGGCTTTTTGTGGTCAGCTTGACCTTACTCGCTCAGCTTTCTTTTACCATCCACGAGAAGAAATAATTTAGCATTTTGTTTTTTTAAATTTCCTCTAGCTCTTTAAAACTCAAGAGGTTTTGAGAGAAGTTGATTGGAAATTTTTTTGACCTTGTAGCAAAAAARATACCGGTTAAAAATGAAAAATTTYCAAGTCTTATTTTTACATTTTTTCACATATCGGTCATGTCTATATATATGTATATATTGTTGACAAGCTGGATTTTGGCATTAAGGAAGCGTCCAAATGTTAGGAATTGAAAATTACTTTAATGTTTACAAATAATTATTTTGTTCAGAAATATCTATGACTCGGTTATAAAGAACTTTTTCTTATTGCCAATTTAAGTATTTTTTTTCTTTAAAATGATATGATTCTCGACAAGGGAAATCTGCTTACAGCTGACTTCACCATTSAGATTCCTATAAACCATTTTCTTTGCTTTTATGCGCGCGTTTATTTACAAAATAGCCGTTCAAAACACGCAATAGGTCTTGAGGAAACGCATATAGAAAAATTAAAAACTACAAATTTTGAGTTCAGTTTTCTGACCGCATGTTTACGTACAAAATTAAGAGACAACAATTCCTATTTTTCAATCAGACCTGAAGTTATCTACAAGTTTTTAAAAAACTTGAAATCAAATGAAAAACTGAATTGTGTTGCTTCGTAGTACAAAATCAGAGTGAACGCTGGATAATTAGACAAAAACAAAAAGCTTTTTATTGCTTGAATATCAACTTATGAAGGGTGTTGAACGAAGAGGCGGACTATATAGGAAACGACTTAAAGTTAAATTTTACATTCACTTTGAATTTTTTTTTTTTTCTTTAGAGGTAAAAATTTAACGGCTTCCTCCGCTTTATTTCGTAACAAGATGGACTGAGATAAACGGAAGAATGACAGAGTTTTCGGATGCTTTGTCGTAACGAGTAAACTCGGATTTCCTTCACYTGAAAGTGAAAACCAAATCACTCCTTTCCAGAAAATCTTCCTCTTTCGTGACTCGAAACGGAAAACTCACTCGAAAATGAGAATTAGGTGTAAGCTAGAGGAAAACCCTTTCTGGTATGAGAAAAAAATGAGTCACAAAAACTGAGTGAACTCCTCGTCGCTTTTACTTAGAACACATCTTCCATATACGGGCTTCTCTGTATCAGGGATACCTCTCAGTGAGCGTAATACAGACTACGAGAAGTACCTCTGAAGTGAGAACATTTATCAAAGTTCACTTCGAATATAATCCCGGCCAGTGACTTGAATTTTACCGAGCAAAACATGAGAATGTGCGTTGAGCTGTTTCCTCTCAAATTCTTTTACTGCCAGTGCTTTTGTGTTTTAGATCTTTCGAGGCACGATTCTTTAATGTTCAACTTTATTTAATCCACTTTAACACGGTATACTTTCAAATTGATTTGAAAAGATGGGTTTTCTGGCCTTCTAATTTTATAAATATGAGACAAAACCACAAGTAGTCACAGGGGGGGGGGGGGGGAGCGCTGCACTGTGATACGTTACTCATGCTCTCACGATCACTGTTTTCTAAAACTTTGAAAAATAACTGTTTGGATTCATATGACTAATTCTGTATATCTCTTTCATTTTACTAAAGCAATTCACGTATCTGTATATCATATTTAATATTGTCATTTCAGTGTAAGTGAATGATGGGGAGCTGGCTTCGAAAACTTTGTTACTTCAGCTCCCCRGCACCTCATAATTATTTTTCTCACTATCTATATTTTACTTTCTTTATTAGTTGAATCTTGTTAATTTATCATCTATATTGTTATTGTAAAGTATATCATGAGTGCAAATAAAGAAAGAAAAAAAGAATTGCTAGCTGCCAAAATATTTAGAAATACGGTATACAATTCACAACTTTCGGTGTTGTTTGCTGAAGCTAGTGTCTTATTAATTTCAAGTGATTGTTGATATTTTTAAGATTGTTGATTAGATATCTCATAACAAAATCTCATTGTAAAAATTCATGCTAATTCCAAATGCTYTAGGAAAGATCGAAAAACGTGATATATTAAAATCAGGATTTTGTGAGTGAAAATTAGATTAACAAATATTTTTAAAGCTCATAAGGGTTTTCTTTGCTTTGGATCACATTAAGGCTGCTTATATAGACGGCATTAATCAACAATGTTATTCCGTCAGTGTTCGTCGTGTTTTTAGATCATCTGGGGTTTTAAACAGCTGTTTTATCTTATTTTGCATTTTATTTTTTTAAGAAGTGCATTTTCCAAAGTATAACATATTTGTCTTATGCTTTGTCTTTGTGCCTGTTATCGAGATAAATTTTTTTACTCGGAGCGCGTTAATTATCCCTAGGAAATATATATACATTAACGTAAACAAATTAAAGTTTCTTACATCAAGCTATATAGSATTTTCTATGTACACTCACTAACAAACGTATGTAAACCATATCTTACCCTCATTAATTTATTAATTTCGAAGCAAAAGTTTAGAAAATCAGTGACAGTCAATTCTAAAAAACATCAATCTTAATTCTGGAGTGCGCAGTGCATTGTTTGTTAAAGTGCCAGAAGTATTTTTAGACATTTGTATTATTTTTCATTAAGTCCGCCGACAACTAGATATTCATATTTACAAGACATTTGGTTAATTGTTTTTGAAGAGGAGCTTTCGGTTTCTTTTTAAAAAAGCATTTTTTTCTCTTTTTTTTGCGGCCAGTTGGTTGTGAGAACTCTTTCACTTTCCTCATTTATTAAGAATTTTCAGTACATCTGAATAAAGTCTGTGATGTGTGTGRCTTTCCTAGTTTAAATGTTTAAATCAAAGAAGTAAGTCTAAGAAGGAWTGCATCTTTCATCCCTCTATGATCTATTCGTACTATGACTTGTCACAGGAGGCATTAGTTTTGGGTGAGATTCATTTACGAGAACATTGACTCGTAGAGAGTGACTTTCGAGAGATTGACTTATGGACACTGACTTGTGAGGACGCTGACTTGTGTGGACGCTGACTTGTGGGACATTGACTTGTGAGGACATTGACTTGTGAGGACATTGACTTGTGGGGACATTGACTTGTGAGGACATTGACTTGTGAGGACATTGACTTGT